TCAATTCCCAGAATTCCCCAGCCAGCAAGGCTGAGTGGGGAATTCTGGGAATTGAAGTCCACCTGTCTTAAAGTCTTAAAGGAACCCTGGACTAGATAACCAAGAATCCAGCTTTTAAACAAGATTCTAAACAGGATCCAATAGCATATGATATACAATGAAAGAGATCTATGAACACTTCTATGAGCAGCAATATTGCCAAATCTGGGTTGAGATTTAAGGCGAAGTAGAAAGTATTTGGCAGTTTCGGTGGCTGTTCTGTTTTTCCTTTTCTTTTCCTTCCAGAACTGGAAAATCCCAAAGTCAACAAGCCTTGAAAGCATACTCGGTGGAAGTCTGCTGGGAGTGAGGCAGGAACAGCTTTGGATTAAAGTAAAAAACAACCTCCCTAAGGCTTCAGATGATAGGAAAATAGCTAAGCTAAATATATTCCTTCTTCCCACTGCTCACAGTGGGAGATAAAATGTAAAAATCCCTCATTTCGCAGAACTCTGATTTGGGCATAGGATTGCTCTGCCTACTTCTAAAGCACCAAAGGTAGATTTTCAGACAGTTCTCAGACTGCAAAAATCTCATTTGTAAAATCTCAGAAGAAATCTTTGTGCCATCCTTGTGAAGTAAGGAGAAGTCCAAAATGGTTGTAAGGCAAATGATTTAAGGATTGCAGCCGAGATACCATTGTACTGTAAAATATGTATGCTCTCATAATGATAGTTTTTGTTGCTGTTGTTCATTTCAAATAAGCTTTTGAATTTAAAAATGCCTTTGGATATTATAATCTATAGTGAGTGTTCCATATTTTATTTCTTCAAAACACTCCATCATCACTTTCTTCTTTTGTTTTAGACGATAATAGGGAAAATATTAATGATCAGGCAAAATTAATTGTGGGAATCGTGGTTGGTCTTCTTCTAGCAGCCATGGTTGCAGGTGTTGCTTACTGGCTATGCATGAAGAAATCAAAGTAAGTCTTCACTAATAACATTCTTTACATTTCATAGTGATAAAAATATGTTATCTCACCAAATCTGCTTGTATACTATTCCGTAAAAAATAGGCAGAAATACGTTTTTATGTGTTTATTTGTCTAAAAAAAAATATCTTGCCCTTTATCTAGAGTAATTCCATGGCAGTTTGCAGATTTTAAAAAATCTATAAATATATCAAGTACAAAAAGACAATGAGACAGCACCAAAAAATATGCTGGTGTAGGTTTTCGCAGCTGATATGTATGTGTATATAAAGATAAATCATCCCCAGTGGGAAAAGTGTTTCTCCCTTATATTGAGGGTACAGATCAAATTGGAAAATTATTGGAGAAACACAGTCTAAAAACCATCTACAAACCAATTAAGAAAGTCCAAGTAATGATTCAACCACCTAAGGATGGGAGAAATCACTTTCATCATCAGGAATTTATCACCTCCCCTGCACTTTGGGCAAGTATATATTGGGGGCCCCTGAACAGAGTATTTCTATTAAAAGAACACAAGAGGCATTGCTGGCTAAGACAGCCTGAAAAATCAGCTGCTGTATAGTAGAACACACATTGTTACATAATGGATACAAAATCCAATTTAAAGACACACAAGTACTGGCAACTGCATCAAGCCGTCATTTGCAACTGCATAGAGAAACTGTCAAGATTCACAAACATTTCAGCACTCTAACAAGAGGGAAGAGAGTCTAAAGGTCAACAAAGCCTGGATTCCAGCTTTACGCTATACCAAGATCAAGCAACCTCTAATTATCCAGTTTCAAGAATCTACAGCAGTTTCAACTGAAAACACACACACACATACACACACAGGCTAATCAGGAATTAATTGTCTTGGAATGTATTCAATTAGATTGAAAATTCACCTGTATGAATCAGGAACCAGCTTTCTCAAATTCCCATGGCACAGTCCAATTAGAGATTAGTTTGAATGGAAAGATCAGGCAGAAGCTAGATTACCTAGTTACAAGAGCCCAGTCAGTGCCTGTTAGTTGCCTGTGAGCTGCTGATTAGTATGCTACGGGGCAGATCAGTTTGCGTCTGAAGATGCTGGCCGCAGTTGCCAGAAGAATGTCAGACTACCAGAAATTAGACTCTGGCCATTTAGCCTCAAAGCCCCCCATCACCATTTGACAATACATAAAAAATGTGTATAAATAGTTCAGAAACTGGAGCAAGCAGAACCGCTTTTTTCCAAAGCAGCATTAGTATCTGCATTTCTTTTAATCCATAAACAAAATGCTATATTACAAAAAGCATCCTCTCTGTAATCTTTATCCTCTTTGGTTACGATGATGAAAGTACATAAAAAAAAGCATTAGTAGACACAATTTAGTGTATTGGGAATGGGGCTGTTGCAAAGACATTTGTTATCCAGTGCTGATCTAAAAATAGCAGGCTATCATTATGGGAGTAGTCCCTTCTCTAACCATTTGGTCCAAGCTGTTAGGACTAATCGGTTTGAATGTTGTAACTAACCAACAAAATTGTTTAAAAATGAGCAGATACTGTGGTATCTTGAAGAGTACTTGTTAAGTAGAAACAATTAATCACCATAGGTATTACTTTTCACTCACGTGTTAATTACAGTATCTCTAGGTAATTGCAGTGATCATGCCGTAATTGTAATTAATTCATTTGGATCTTTAATAAGACAAAATAGGGCATCATATTGTCAGAGTAATAGTTATCAGTATGTACTGTATTCCCATGGCCTGGAGTTGACTGTTATGTGTATGAGTTGTTGGGTTGCCTTAATGCATGTTAACTGAGCCTCAGTGTACATGAAGTTCTGTGGTATAGCTCACAAAGTCATTCTTTTATGAAAAACTAAAAAAAAAAAAAATTAAGATATGGAAAGACCTTTGGGCTAGTTTATGCATTTTTTTTCCTTTGTAGGAAAATGCTATTTTATATATAAAATAAGGTTTTATTCAGCTGATGTTTGGCATCACGTATTAGCATTATTTCTCAGCCATTTAATATATCATGACACTCTAAAAAATTCAGTAAATTGTGTTCCATCTATTTGCTTATTTGTAAAGTAAGTCAAATAACCTCTGTTATTTAGCAAACAGTTAATGTTTAAAATGTCAAATGTTTACTATTCAGGGACTTGAGAGTATGTTTGAAACAAGCCAGGCTCAATTTCTAATGTGTTCATTAGGAAGAAAAGAAGAGGAAATAAAAATCACTTTTTCCTATACCTTATTATGCCCTTTGCTTTGGATATCTCCCATCAGTTTTGCCTGGAAAAACTGGGTGGAGAAGAGTTTTTGTTTTTTTTAAGAACCCATTAGCCTGCAAGCTGCTTTCCACAGTTACTCACTGTGAGTTGAAGTAAGCAGGGACTCCATTCAATGTGGGGGGTTTGGTTTAGCAGTGATCTGTTTAGCTTTTGGGGAAGGTAACTGCTGAGGAAAAACATTGACACTGCTGAGTCTAAATTCTTCTTCCTCTTTCTGTCAGTCAGTTATTCATCTTCAGTTTACTTTGTCTTGCGTCTCCTCACAGTTAATAATAAAATGCCAAAGTGTCAATTGAGTGTTAAACCATAATAAACAAAATCTGATAGAGGTTGCTAAGTTCCTAAGAACACCGTTATATGAATGTAAAACTTCTCTTGTCTTTGTTTAATCCTTTTACTTCCCATCCAGCAGCCTGAATTCTTTCTTCATTGGTTGGGTGTCAGTGATACTAACCCTTTTCCAGACTTGACATTTTACTTACTTATGTCATGTCAGAAGCAGGAAAATCATGTGCTTGTTAGCCTTTGGCTTTATTTCCATCCACTTATACGATTCTTAGAAGAAGAATGGGGAACCTACAGCCAGAAAGAGGTTGCTGGTCTAAATCCAATAATGCAAGACTCCAGGTCATTTGGAAGCCTTCATGCATACACGAAAGTCATCTGCTGTGTAGGAAGTCCTCTCCTATGTACAATCATGCTGTACCCATGGAATACTGGCTGTCCATTGAAATCACAGCACAGCTTTATAAGGAAGAACAGCTGTTCATTTCTGTGGTCAGTTCTACTTGTGAGCATTCTGCTTAAACAAGGCTTGAGTTAGTTTAATTACAGTGAGGGAAGTTGCTTTCCAAAACTAAACTAAACAAGTAACCTTGCATTGTGACCATTTCTATTTTTTTTTCATCCTGATTTTTTCTGCCTATTTTATCAGTAGCAGTAGGATAGACCAGTCAAAAGAAGTTACATAACAGCTAAGTTCAAGAGATGTTGGTATTCTTTAAAGTACATATTTAGGCAAAACTAATTATATGTCTTTGTCTTGGAAGATTTTGAAATACCTTTGAAATACTACCCTACCATTTAATTAACTATACTACAATTTAAAACACATATGATTATGTTGCAAGGGCATACTACACAGACACACGTGCACACACACACACACGTGTCATGTTATATCACATTCTCATTTCTGTGACTTTCATTGGCTGATATCTAAGAAGGATGAGGAAACTGATATTAAGACACCTCAAACATATTTTAATGACATAATTGTGTAGAAGTTATGACTGCCCATTTATCTCACCATAAATTAGAGCTTAGGTTTTAAATGCTTTCTGTCTTGCTTCAAAATTTAGTCCAGCACTCTTATTACATACACCAGTGTAGGATTAATTTTATATCTTTATGTCATGGTAATCTGCCCTTACACTGCTCTTACTTAGGTATTATTTATATTGTTATCCACACAGTCTATTCTCTTTTTATTTTTTTAAATTTATTTCTTAATTTATTTCTTTAAATGTTTAAAAATGATCAGTCAGCTAATTGTCCCTCTAGATTTGCAGTCCTATTGCTGAACGTGATCCCTTTGCTTTAAAATATTAACAGTGATGTTTTATTGCCTGCAATAATAAATATAAATGTGTTGTCAGTAGTTCAAGTTCATTTCTGAAGAGGGCCAATTCATTTATTGTGAGATTATTTAAAACTGATAATGAAAGTAACAGAGATTATGTTTGGAACTGAGTGTTGCTAAATTATAGATAATTACCAGGGCTATCATTTTAGAATAAACCTAATCACTGAAAGATTATTGCAGGTAATCTATTTTCATCATGAATGTATGCCATAATATAAATAATTGTTGCTGCTTTTATGAAAACAGTGACAACATATTTAACAAAATAAGATTCAATAGAAACAGCTGTCCAGGAAGATGGAAGTGCTTTCTATTTTTAAATGTTTCTGTAATGCACAACCCATTCCTTAATTTTGGTTTCCCTATCAATCACCTCTCTCAAGCACTTCTGAACAGTTATTCACATCATGTCTGTGATGCAGGAGGCAAAAAAGATACTTTTCTATGTTGTTTTTGGTCTCTGTTGTTTTAATAACCACCCCCCCACACACACACACACCTTTGGCAAGACATTAATATATGACATTGAAAAGGGTGATTTTAGATTTATAGCTATTCATCAAAATGTGCTGTACTTTCCATTAAGAACAAAATTATTCCAAAATGATTGGGCCTTAATGAGAAGCTCAGATATACCTCAGTGTTGTTATAGTATCCAAGCCGTACCAAGTTGTACCTATAGCTATAGCATAATTTATTTGTTATATGTCTACGTATTATTTATAGCTATAACATGGTTTCTCTGTGATATGCCTTTATATTATTTATGACTGCAATGAGTTGGATAAGCTTATTTTAAAAGTTTGGCCATTTATTTCATACTGAAAATGTTAGCTAGAATCTAAATTGTGCTTTATCTGGAAAGAAAGTCCAGTAAAAACATACATCCAAGTACAGTAGAAGTATTCATGGTGGACAGCAGAATTACATTTGAAGTGTTTGGAATTAGAAAAGTGAAGCTGTTTGTTGCAATTAAAGAGTTCACAATCATTTAGGGCCAGTGGGGACATTTGGAATGTTGACACATCTTTTGGGTGAGTTCATAGAATGTCTGCCGTGAAGTGTTAGTAAAGA